GACCTTTACAAATGAAAACAATGCATATTTGCCCATAAGGTATTCTACTGCATGTATATAAACTTATGTGTAAACTTATAATAAATCCAAAGTAACTCCCATAGCAAATTAGAGAAAATGAAACCTAATATTAAGCATACACTGTGACTTAAATAACTGTAATATAACTAAATTAAATTCAAATAAACCATCAAATAAAAATTATCAGACAAAGCTAGATTGGTCCCTACTTGTACACACAAATATTTTACCCTCAACACATTAGTTATTGACAATATAATACTGTTAAATGTCCTTTTACCTCATACCAAAACAAAACAAGGCAGCAAAGCTGTCAAATGTACAGACAAAAAGCAGAAAAATAATGCACAAAATAGGATACTGTCAATTCTGATGCAATAATACATAATGCTTAACTGCAAATTCAGCATCAAATACCATTGAAAGTAAAATGTGTAACAAGCATAAGGCTTCATGCCTATGAGAGTTTATACTTTGAAAATGCCAGAATGAGAAAAGGTGAAAATTTCACAAAACTTGTATAAATTTAGTAAAATTAGTAAAAAAACAATCCAATAGAGCTGTTTTTCCAATAAGAGCTGTATGTCAGTCCTAAGAATAATTTTTTAACTTAAAAAAAATAACTGACACTGTTTTCTCTGCATACCATTTATGGTGGCAGTACACAAAGTTGGTTTTTGTCAATTTTGATGCAATATTACAGACGCAAGTGACAAATGTATGTACAAACACATCCGTGTCTGTACATCAAAAGACAAAAATAGAGACATGGGTCATATAGCCATAAGGTAAAATCCATACTACTCAATGCCCGTGGTTGGGATAAGGGTTTTTTACACAGAAAAGTATGATAAATAATATAACAAGTAAATACAATGCTCTGACTTTGGTCCCCCTGGATATTGAGAATTTTATTTTGTGCTGTGATTCATAGGACAACCCTTTTTATGCCATAATTCTCCTATATATACACATATTATGCACTGGGTTTTAGCATGTCCCAAAAAGTAAATATTACACTACTAAAGTTATCAATCATAATAAAACAATTTATATTAAGTAATCAATTGGTAAAAATATGGCTATACTCTCCAATAACAGGTGAATCGAAGTCATACTTTTGGACATTTGACCTGGAAAAAATTTTGATCATATTATTTTGTTATGATGAAGTGCTTTACCCAAACAAAACAGTTTGAATTAACACATGCTACTGGCAATTCATGAAACTTGCCATTTATCATAATTGCTAAAAACCAGTTTAAGTTGCAAACCAACCAGGTCAGAAAAAAACTTTTTCTATCATTCCAAAACCGACAAAACCATACTCAGTTAAGCTTCATGTAGGACAGGTGCCAGAACCACCACACCCATGGGAAAAGATCCACTCTTGGCAAAATTATATCTAGATGCATGGAGGTTAGATGGTAAAACATCCACATTTTCCAAAAAAAAGAACCCCTCTTTGAAATTACTGGCTAACGGGCCTGTTCATGGATGAACCTCATGAGCAATATTCTTGATCAGTCAGCCACCAGTGCTACACAATGACCCAAAGTGCCTACTCATCAACCAACCTATTCCATTTATTTATTAACTTGTATCAAATATATGCTATTCATAAAAATCCTAGGATGAGACCATTAAATGTGATACACCACAAGTCATCATTTAAGTTTTTCAGCATCATTTGTGACCCTCCATTTGTATGCTTTCCACAAGGTCCCAAGTCAAATAATGTCAAAGGTCATCTAGAATGCCACCTGCTGCACCATGTTGACATGTAGCTTCAGAATATCCAGACTGCTGATTGGTTGAGATATCCTCATGATTCCCCATGCTGCTCCATTCACAGGCAGAGAGCCAGCATAGGACAGAATGCTAGCATTGGCTCCAGCTAAGGCTCCTGGAAAAGTGATGAGTTGTTAGACACCATATGTCTAGGATTTACCTAAGACAGTGGTACCAAGATGGTGTTGGGTGTATGGAAACAAATGTATAGAAACAAAAGGGTGATAGACTTTGGCATCCGGTTCATTGAAAAAATTGTAGGTTTAATTAATAAAAATTGTTCAATAAGTTTAAGTTGTACTCAGATAATTTCGAAAGGGAGTGATATTTGCATTAAGAATGTAAAAAAAGACCCTTTATGTGGCTCCACCTACCTGCCACAGCTGGCATCACCTGAGGGTTGGCCTGACTCTTGTACACCAACACATTGCCAGCTAGAGAGACAGGAGTTGATACTGAGGCTCCGTTAATCTGAGCCAGCATGGGTGTTCCTGCTGACACGAACCCTCCAACCTGGTGAATAGCTCCACCTTGCTGCTGTACTACCACAGAGACAAGACACTCCAGCTGGGTAGGTACCTGCTCCTCATGGGACGTAGACAACTAAAATATATTGAATTTCTTTATTAAATTAAACAATATTAGCTAATAAAGAAGGGACATTTTTGTTTACTGTAATATTTTTAAGTAGAAAGGCATATACATGGAAAAGGAAATTAGGATACCGATTATTTAAGTCAGGGTGTGGTGGGGCGTTGGGATTGGAGGAGAAAATGCCTTTGATCAATAAATAAATAAATAAGACCACTCTGAGATCAATCCATTTTGCTTAAAAAATTCAAATCTCACCTCAATAAAAATTACATAAACTGTGGTTTATACATTGATACATATTTTTTCACTATGGCCTTTATGGAAAGTCACAAAAATCCATATTAATTAATTAAGTTTATCTGAAAACATGAAATAAAAAGTATGTCAAAAACACTCCTCTCATATGTGGATACTAAAATAAAAAAATCATGTACATATTGAATGGTCTTACAAAAAACTTCTGAATGCAAACATTGATTTTTCTCTTTAATGTAGGCCATCTAGGCCTCTATAATAAGGCAGGATTTACTGTAGATAGAAAATACTCCAGAATTTATTTCATAACTTCTTTTTATAAAAGGAAACTAGAAGGATGAAAAGAAAGTCCAAAAGTATGATGAAATTTAATCAGACTGGATTTGTTGATATATTCTGCATACATGTTGTCTAGATATATGTATTCTAGATTTACTATCATAGCAGATTTTATTAGAAATTAAAGAAAAACTACATTAAAAGATAATGAAAACATAATGAGCTGTCCCTAATTATCAAACTGTATCTCAAAATTCAATTTTCAATTATTTGTTTCTCTTACACTTCTAAACAATACTGAAATGGTTTTTCTGATTACTACTATTTGGATTAATTGTAAACAGTGTTATAGTGGTAAGCCTTTTTATTTTTGAGGAAGGGGGGGCATTTTCCAATAACTCATTCACTCACTTTCACTCCATTATTTTAACATTTTAAGCTAAAAACAGACAAGGTACTTTTAAGCCCTAAACCAGTGCACTTATCAAATTTCTGAATTATCATTTGGAACAGCTCATTTGTATGTTATAATCAATTTTTTTTTTTAGAAAATGAACCAATGAATTAATTTTACTCAAATTTGATAAGTAATTACCATTACTGAATGCCTTTTTCCTTGGCCAGGGGAGGAGCATTGATAAGATTGAGGTTATTGTCAGAATACTCTGATAACAGACCCACCAAGACAGCTGCACCAAGGTAGCTGCCTGCTTTCNGGGGGGGCATTTTCCAATAACTCATTCACTCACTTTCACTCCATTATTTTAACATTTTAAGCTAAAAACAGACAAGGTACTTTTAAGCCCTAAACCAGTGCACTTATCAAATTTCTGAATTATCATTTGGAACAGCTCATTTGTATGTTATAATCAATTTTTTTTTTTAGAAAATGAACCAATGAATTAATTTTACTCAAATTTGATAAGTAATTACCATTACTGAATGCCTTTTTCCTTGGCCAGGGGAGGAGCATTGATAAGATTGAGGTTATTGTCAGAATACTCTGATAACAGACCCACCAAGACAGCTGCACCAAGGTAGCTGCCTGCTTTCTTCATACCACATCCTGAAATAATATTATACAAAATTGATCTCATTCAGTGCACATGTCACGGAAATGTGATACTGATAAACATATTGATTGTTAAAAGGTTTATTAATTGAAAAGGAGGCCAACCACTTCAAGTATTATATGCTGCTCTAAATAAACAAAGGGAAATATAGAATTAAATTTATATGTATGATTATATAAAAGCATGCCCCCCGAAAAAAGAAGAAAGTTAAAATGTAGCCATAACTAAATGAACACATAAGGTTTTTTATCACCTAGCTTGATTGATGAATTCACCAAAAAAAAAAAAAAAAAAAAAAAAAAAAAAATCACTACAATTGCTAACACAAACAAGCCTAAACAATAAAAAATATAATCAATCGGTTTCAATTGCTTTATAAGTCTTTATTCATACTAATAGAAGGGAGTAGACTTTTTTGTTTTGTGACCTCTAATGGCCCAACATGTTTTGTTATTCTTTGTCATAATAACTGGAATACCTGCACAGCCAGCTTTTGTGTGCCCATTTTCTGGTGCTTTTATTGTGTACATGTACATTAAAATATTTTAAGTCAATATTTGACCAATTACTCTCAATACTCTCATTATAATTTTTATTATCATCTCCTTGTGATGGCATTAATTGTACCCCTGTCCAATTTTGATACATACAATGAATTTTGAAGTTTCTATGTCCTGGACTTGTAAAACCACAAATAGTACACAATCAATAAAGATAGGTGTATTTTTCATGTCCACCAAGTTGCAGAGCTTACTAGTACTTATGCACTAATTTGGTGAGCCTTTCCATGCACACTGAAGGCTGCTGAATTGGAGTACGTATAAGTTTTCTCACACCTGTACCATATTTCATGGGTATATTTGGGGCAAAGAAAGTAGGTACTCATTTCACATATTATATTATGACATGTGTACTGTGTGTGAAAGAAGCAATGTCAAGGACAATAAGCTCAATGTACTTCCGTCCCAGGGAAACAACCGCATTGGTCACAAGTACACAAAGCAAAACAAAAAAGGGGATTTTTTTCGATCAGGTCAGCCATACTTGGCAATACCCAAGTAACTTCCAGGTAAGTGATCTTAAATTGAAGATTAATCTTTCTTTAAATGTTTTTCTTCATTTGATTTTGGGTATAAAAGAGTCCGTATATAAAACAGAGTTTGTGTAAGTGACATAAAAGAAATATTTATCACTAAAAGGGGACAAAAATAGCTGACCTACTTTTGAAAGATGGCAAATTTCCACAATAATTAAAATCATTAATCTATTAGGCCTATGTCCATCTTACATAGTATACTTCTTGTAATAGAAGATTAAAGCACAAAAATACATAGATAAATAAATATAGGGCCTACAATTACCCCTTATATATAAATTCCATATCCATAAATATCAAATAAACTGAAAATCAACTTCTACAATAAACCCTTTTATTTTGTAGGTTAACTGGTAAAAATAAGGACTGATTGAAACATCACAATGGGAACATTTTTAAGCATGCCAGCTGAAAGACAGAGGTGGGCAAAGCCCAATATCAACAAGTGCCCATGCCAACAACTCCACAATGACCTTAAAATTGCACTTGCAGATGAAGTCAGCAAATCAGAGCATCTACCAAAAATTAAATGTCAGCTCCGGGGCAAAATTGGAGCTGGGCATTTGGAAAACTTGGACACACTGGCATTACTGAATGATCTGGATGACAGGAAAATAATAGCCCCCGGAAATTATGGAGAATTAAAAAATTGGCTAAAAAAAGCAGGCATTGAACGATTGTGTGACACTATTCAGGCGACAGAAAATGAAGTAAGCCATTGTGAAATACACCAAAAGGAGCCATCACAGAGCAGGAAGAGGAAAAGAGGTACATAGTACCACTTTGTTATATGATGATCACTTTTGTTTTAATTTGGGTCATGGACAAACATCCAAGATAAAAGTTTCTTAATTAAAGGGATAACAACTGCCTGTATGAGATTTCTATTTCACAATGATTACACTGTAAACGACTCATAGAATCCGCTTATACCACCAAAACAGCAGTTGTTGAAATTATTCTGGATCTATGCATGCCATTGGACCATTTGACCTTAATTCTTGTATTGCTCTTTAGAGATTATTACAAAAAAAAAAAAAAAAAAAAAAAAAAAAAAAAAAAAAAAAACTGTAAACATGGAAAAATTGTTTTCCCTACATTTGGACCAATGAACCACGGCCCTGAAAAATAAGGAGTATTGTAATGGCAGTTGTAGTTAGTTTATGACTGTTTCTGAGTTTCCAATATTAATGAGTCTTTCAAATATGAGACCACATTTGACATTTAACTTTGTTGATGAATGTAACTTTTATATCTATCATGACTTTCTTATATAGATATTTTTGGATATTCAATTATCAACAGAACTGTATTTTTATTAACTGTTCATATTTCTGTTTACAAATTATAAAATGTATACCTACATTTATGTAATCTACTGGAAATAAAGTTCTTAGTTTAGTGGGTCTTTTCCATGATTTATAATAGCCTCAATCTTTGACAAATTAAAGCTTCCCAAAATCTTTTAAACTCAGAATTATTTTACCTTTCAGATGATGATAATCACAGTGATGACTCGGAGTTGGAGGACAACAACAACGAGTCTCTCTTCGATGGTTAGGATCAAATTTATTCAGTTTTCAGACATGCTGAAACTGTTGATTCGATCGGTCATGACCGGCTAAATTTCTCTGGACCGAAAAAATTGTACTTTGTTGGTCCAAAGGATTTTGAATTTAAAGCCATCATTCGATGTACTTCAAGAATTAAAACCCACATCATTTTTTCTTCCATTTACTAATCAAGTGCCCATAAAAACCAATTTCATTTTGGTGACATTCACTAACAAAGTACGCTAGCCAATCATAATATCTGTCTCAAAGGAATGGGCAATTCCCCATGGGGAATCCCTCCAGCTCTCTATATTACGCGCCCTGTTATTAGTCTGTTGGCTGCAACATACAGACATCTATCACGAGGGCGGTCCACGCTGCCCAGCACATGTAAACATGTTGGGGTATATGTTTACTGCTTCACTTAAGCTGTACACACTGTATTGAATTTAAAGACTAAGTGTGAAATTCAAGGACTTACAAAGGAAGAAGCAAATTCAAACTCTTCTAAAGGCCTGTAACATCTCCATATTTAATGGAAATTTTGGGTCTGGCAAATTTTCATCACTGCCCGTCCAAATGTCCAGCAGTTCTGCAAAGTTTTCAGCATGTCTGAGTCTAATATATTTTTTGTCATCAATTTAGTTATAATACATCACTACAGAATAGCATATATATATATATTACAGTAATTTCCAATATTGTTCTTTTAAAATTTGATTATATCAGTTGTCAGTGATGATCTGTATATTTGAAGGAAAAAATAATGCAATAAATAAATTGAAAAAAAAACAACAACATATTACTTAAAGTTTAAAACTATAATTCTATTCAATTGAAACTACATTTATTTTCAGATGAGGAAATTCAAACTACTGCAGGATTGTGTGTAAGAAATTGCAGAACTTGTAAATTAAAAAATGGAAAATATGAAAAAGGTAACTACCAGGACTTTTTTACAGGCAAGGCAGTACTTAACTGGCATCAAATGATTATAAAATTAAATATAATTGAGATTTGAATAACTATTATCTTAATCCTCACAAGTGACTTAACATCATTTAAATAAAATAACTTTTTCATATCAATTTCATTCCAGTTAAAAAAAATCAAAATTTTGACAATATTTACCTTAAATTCAGATTGCTAATCTTACATATTTCAATTCATTTATCTCATTCATTCAATGTTTTTATAATTTAGTTGTGCCAACCAAAAAATAAACACGTTTTTAAGCATTTTTGACACTATAGCCAGTGTTTGCACAGTACATAAAGTATGAAAAAATAATAATTCAAATAAGTAAAATGCATGCTCATTTTTAAAAATACCTCTAAATTAAGAAAGGAAAAACAAATTGCCCTTTCAGAATAATAAAGTCTATGAGGATAAAAACATAAACTAAATTATTTTTGACAAAAAAAAAAAAAGAGCTTGGCTGTCTACTAAGTTTCCAATGTTGTCTTGTTGAATGTTGAAATAAAACTGTATCTTGTACAAAAGATATAAAAACTTATTGTTATTTTCACTTAGTCTACAATGGTGTGAAGATTAAACTCCTAAACAAGAAGAGTCAGATGGCCAGTCTTAGTTACCAATCAGATAGTGATGATGAGACAACTTCATGGATTTCCAAAGTTGCAGATACAACCAACAACTTCTTAGAAAAATCCAACATTAAGGAAGGTTTTCACAAGAAAAATGGTGAGTCCAAAGTATAATTTATAAAAATAATCATGTAAGTATTTAGCATCAAGGTCAAATTACATCAATTCTGAAAACAGCCACTCGGTTTTCTTTTTTTATTCACTGTTAAAAACAAATGAAACAAGTATTCAATATATATTTTCATAAATATAAATTTTCTTTTGAAATTTGTGAAAAAATAAAAATGTGAATTAAAAATCCTGACTTTTTTCAATTATTCTTTCAGTTTTGCATGCAAAACTGCACATTGCATACCTGGCATCGAAAGGTATTGCAAAATCAGCAGACAAATACTTCACCGAGGAGATGTTAAGTACCCAAGAAATGTTCAAAAAGGCTGCAGAGAAATTTTGTAAAAAGGGGGCAGCACTAACCAAACTCATAGAAGGCTGCGTAGAGTGCACATTGCTGTTTGATGCTCCTGAAAAGCTGCAGAATTTCTGGACAGAGTACAAGTCTGGCAGCCTTTCTGAGTTCCTAACACAGGAGTATATTACTGCAGAACTTGAGGAGATGGAGGGAGGACAGAGACTGTATGTGGATGTGTACATCTGTGAGCAGGAGCTGGCCACAGCCTGGGATTTTTTTGCACGGCCAGGTAGATAAAGTGTAAACATAATAACTATAAGATAGGTGTGGTGTAAAATAAAATTGGACATAACTATAAGCAAGATGTTCAAAAGAAAAGGGTGATTTTCCTATTATTGTATAATTTTTTATTGGGTGTAGAGAAAAAATCAATTTCTTTCATTTGTGTTAATCTTTAAATTAATTTAAGTAAAGTCTGAAGGGATTTCTATTAAAGAATGAAGTGACAGAGTTACAGGCACCCGTTTCCAGTAGACCCTGTCAATTTACACACTGTATACCAAATATTCGTTTATATATCTAATAGTATGTACAATACTTATAAGTGTGATTTGCACTCCATCACATCACAGGAGAACCAGAGGACCAATCAAACCCTTTGACCTCGAGTTCTGTTGAAAACAAGTCAGAAGATAGAATAAAGCAAGAACCAACAAGCTTAAGCAACATAAACCATGGCATCCATCTGAAAACAGAACCAGAGCCCTCAACATCAGACACTGCACCCAAATCTGAACCATTAACAGAAGAAGGAAGACCAGAGGTAGAAATGACGATGTGTGAAGTCAAACAAGAACCAAATGAAATGACAGAAGAGCCTTTGGAGAATATGGGAACAGAAAATTGGCCTGTTGAGGTGAACATACTGCCACACTAATTCCAAAAGATCTTTTAAAAATCTTGAAAATTTGTTGGCTAGAAATATGTCAGGTGCTCAAATGAATTTTACTGATTTTCATGAAAATGTCTACAAAATATCGAAAAATGATTAAATGGACACATTTTTCTGATTAAAACAATTTCCCAAACAACCTCTCTTCTCTTTTGAACAGCAGTCATTTTATTATAATTACAAAAATAAATAACTGATTTCTTAAAATCACACTCTCCACCTATGTCATCTATCTCTGTTTACATATGTATGTAAAAACTAAGGCTACAGAGATAGATTTTTAAACTATGATAAGAGTTATTAAAAGATACATTATCATAGTAAGTAAGTGATTTTTTTTCAAAATTCATTAAGTATACAAGATTCTTCATAGGGACATTTTCTAAAGATGATTTACATTATTTTGTTATTAGAAGGTTAATCATTACAAACATTTATTAATTCATCTTAATATCATTCAAATTAAATATTTTTTTATGTTTGCCTTCTAGCGCACCATTGCTGATGCAATATTCCACACCATATCAACCCGAATGTCCTTCATGTGGAGGAAAATGGCAGTTGAACTGGGACTGGATGAGGATGAAATTACAACCATAGCATCTCAGCATCCAGCCAGTGAGGAGCAACAGTGTGTTGAATGTCTAGAGTACTTCCTCAATAAGAACTTCTCCAAACCATGTGGTCAACTCACAGCAAGACTGGTATCTGCTGTGTATGCTGTGCAACAGCCTGCATTTGCTGGTATTACAATTTTGCTGGTTTCTTTCTTTTTTACTTAATTAGATTTTGGCTATTCCAATGCCTAAAAAACGTCTCTTAAAAGAGAAAAATTACACATGTTGAACTACTGTAATGAAAATTAATGGATGCACTTTGTCTTTAGTCTTTCACATCTCTTCTTTTTGCCATACTTCAAATTAAAAACATAACAAAAAAGAGCAGATTAAACTTACAGTAATACAATATATGACTGTAATTCAGAGAACATATTTCCTGAACAAATCACCCCATCAGATTCCACTAACAGTGTACCATTGTCATAAATACCTACTCCATCTTCTTTCAGCAACCCTCTGCGAACTTATGCAAATGGAAGGGCTACCCATCTGTCATGACCTCATTGTTAGATGCCAGGGTGATTCTAATAATGAACCATTTGATGCTGCTGATTATGATCCCAAAAAAGATGATGATTGGGATGATAACATGGATGGAGAGCACAACTGCAGAAAACCAAAAGAAGATGAAGAGCAAAGTTCTAGCCTGAAGGATACAGGAGGCAATGCTCTTGATTTAGGCTCTAGAAGCGCCTGTACCTCAATCACCTCAGAAGACACAAATAATTTTGATTCAGTGATTAACGGAAAAGATAAAGAAACTTTCAGTAAAGTTTCTGAGGAGTCCTCTCACAGTGATACTGAAAGATCCAACTCAACACCAGACAGACTGCAGTCATTGCTCATGACAGACACTATCAACTTTACAGGTATGGAAGAGATCTACCACATAATTGAGACATCACCCAAAAAATTGACCAACCTTAGCATGGCTTATCAAGAAAAGCTTGCAACTGAACTTCTATATTTAGGTTGTAGGGGGGAGAAGAATGCAAAACAGTGTAAATACCTCAAGGAAATGTTTATAAGGTGTGCATCTTCAAACAACCCTGAGGCCAACATACTGACACGCAATATGCTGAGAGACAGACTGATGAAAATATTTGAAAACACTACTGTACAGAACCCTTCTTTGTTCACAGAAAACTGGGAAATCTTATATCGCACTGCTAGCACTGAATCTTGGTCATCTACTTCTAAAGTCTTCCTCAGACTCTATTGTGATTTTTCTGGTGACAAGTTGCTGGAAAGAGTTTTATGCAATAGCACCCAGCTCCAAAAATATGTATCAGAACAATTAAGGAAGGATGCAACTTTTGATTACAATAAAGAGACAATTACCAAATTTCTATCAGAGATAATAGGAAATTGTAAAAAAGTTACTGATATCCAGAATATCTTTGTCAGCCACAGTGGAAAACAACAGGATACATTAGGACAATGTATCAAAACGTTGTCCAAAAAAAGAGCAGTCTCAGAGTTTGTGCTACAATTGTTATTCCAGCTCCACTTATCAAAAACTAAACAACAATCATTTCTGTCTGCAGAAGAGAGGACACTAGTCTTGGATGTGCTGTCACAACATGTAAAAAAAAATGGACCATGCCTCCATGCTGGTGAAGGAAATGCTGAAGTTTTGATGGAGTACTTTTTTACCAACCATGAATCTACAGAGGCAGAGCATACACTGTGTATGGAGATTTTAGCCAAGGATGAGAAAACATCAGAACATCTACTACAACAGTTCTACAAGATTCACACAACCAGGACACAATCAGAATCAGAGAGGACATTATTCCTGAAAGTTTTGTCACAACATGCAGTACAACATGGGAGCTGCTGGGATGCAGGTGAAGGAAATGCTGTTATGTTATTACAGTATTTCCTTGCAAACAATAACACTACAGAAGCAGAGCATACACGGTGTATGGAGATTTTAGCCAAAGNTAAAAGAGCTTTAGAGTGCTCCTTTCTTTAAATTTTTGGTTGTCAATTTAACCTACTTTCGTGACCTACTTTTCTGCCCTATTGACATACAGCATAGAATGCTAGCAGAAAAATCTGTTCAAACATCACTTTTGGGTAAAATTAAACAATGCCTTTTGGTAATTCTCTTAGTTATACTACTTGAAACTATATGCTGGCATTTGGTTGGTTTTTATGACAAAAAATTGACTTTGTATGTACCTTTAAGCATAGTGACATAGAATGCATTTCCATAGATTTTTAGATTGATCTATCCTCGTGGGGAGTCTCACTAGATTGTTGTCAGCCTAACCGGCTTAAATGTCTGTCGTGCCTACTAAAAGCTGTAGGGGGGTAATTAACTTTTGAGTGTGCTCGGCTCTCGGAACCTGACAGCAATTTAGCGTGAACCCCCAAGGAGTTAGGTCGATTCAGATAGATCGACAACAATTTTCTTATACTTACCAATGGTTAACAAATCCATTTCTACATTCAAAGTTAGTCCCTTGTTTTTATTTTCTAAAAAAATTTTATTTTCTAAAGTATAATCTCTCAAGAGATTATAACAGAGTATCTGGGGTAGCGCTAACACTCGCCAATTTAGCCAAATGCTAAAACTGACTTAAACAAATAGGGCTTGAATTGACTTGTTTTAGTCAAATTATAACCATTTGGATAACAAATTGACAAAAAAGTGGTGATTTGGCTAAGTGAAAAAAATTGCTAGCGCCACCCCAGCATATTGCCATCTATGGAGGTCACGTGATCTGATGACAAGCTCAGATATCAGAATAATAGCTATTACAGCCGTTATTGTGGTAAAACAGAATTTATTATATTTCTGAGTTGTTTACAATGTTTTTATTGTGAAATATAGATCTCATACGAAGAGTTATTATCCCTTTTAAGTATTTTAGATTTAAGTTTGATTGATGAAAATGTGACATGTAGTCATATAAACCTACCAATCACAATAATTGCTTGTACATAAAAACAACAACTGTACCATAAAAAGGCAACAAAAATAAAATTGCAGTTAAAATACTATTCGTTAAACAGTTTCAAATTCTAGGAAGCCTTTTCTTCAGATGTACATGATATAAATGTCTCATTGCATATAGTTTTCAAGGTTTTTATGTGAAAAAATCAGTAGATTCACATACACAGTCTACAATATTAATTTGAATGTAATTTGTGATTTCTTTTCATATCAGATTGTTGGTTGTTGTTCTGAAGAGTTAAAGGCAGCACAGCATTGGAATGGAGCTGGCGTGATAGAACTTTTAAAAACTATACCAATGTAGGTCATGATTAATCTTATTGTTTCTTCTTTTTTTTCCAATTTAAGAAGATATGTGATATGAGAACTTTTAAAAACTATACCCATGTAGGTCATGATTTATCTTATTGTTTTTTNAACCAGCTTTAATTCCTGGTTTTTTCTCTTTTTTTCCAATTTAAGAAGATATGTGATATAATTATATAATTATAAAGTATCTGATTATACCAGTAGGGTACCTTGTAAAACCGGTCTTATTTCGGTTTAACAAGGTAAGTAAAATACCACGTTCTAAAACATCTCTTCAACTGTTATGTTCGTTGATATGGTATACTTCCTTATGTTGCAGTGCTGGTGGACCCTGGTTAATTACGGAAATGCGTAGAGGGGAAACAGTATTTGAAATTGATCCTACACTCCAGGTGAGAGAGAGGGAGAGAGAATGTGTTTTAATCGACAAATATCAAAAAGATGTTTCAAATACATCATTGAAGAGCATATTAAGATGTTAAGTAAATTATAAAGCAGTTACATTTTTGGTGCTGTTGCAAAATAATTACAGTCATTTTTTTAATGACAATTTGTTGATTTATAGTTATGATGTATATTTTATGTTTTATATATTTATTTAAAGGATCGTGTTGATCAAGGTATTGAAAATGAAGGCTCCAACTTAAGTGGCGTGAGTGCCCGCTGTGCATGGGAGGAACCTAGTGACATAGATAGACATGACAAAGTGAACGAGGAGGAAAATAAAGAAAACAGATTTATAGATGGTGATAGAAGAGGCAGCAGTGACATAGAGAGGCCACACATATCTGCTTTTGGTATGAATTTATTATTTCACCAGTGTTCTTTTTTATGGACAGACACTATGTTGGTCTTTTATTTCGGTTTTCTACATTAAGCCCCTGGGTACCAGGTCATATGGCAATTGGGTAATTTCTTCCTACTTTACAACCCCAAACCATGTCTGATATAAAATATCTTGTCTAATATAGCCACCACCTGCATGTATCATTGCCAATGCTGGAAGTATTGCTGTGCTCTCCCCTAGAGTTTTTGCTTGTAAAGGCACTACAAGGAAAACAGTTACTTATTATTTTCAAACTTACAGAATCATTCTAATAACATGACCTTGATTTTTTTATTTAGAATTATCATGTAACAGTTACATTTCCGAAAAAATTTAAAGCAAAGTTTTTTTGAATACTTATAGAAAAAAAGTAATGGCTATGCAAACCACTAAATTCACACATTCTGAAAAATCTACTGGTCCAAACAAAATTTTTATTGGCTGTGGGTGTTGCAGCAGACTGCATTATTGAAGGTATAATAATAACATTTACTCTCACTTATATATTTCAAACATGTGAATTGATTTCAGAATCTGAACAAATCAAAGCCACATTGAAGAAAGGGCTGAACACAGCTCATCAAATCAAACAAGAGCCTGTAGATAATGAATACTCACCTTCACACCAGCCAGATCAGTAAGTATTTAATGATGTGTTCAGGTAGCCGAGACTTGTTTAAGTTTTTATTTCACCAAGTGGCATGAGTGGCTACTTAAATCTTTCAGTAAGTTAGTGGTCACTTGTGCACAGTTAAGCATTTGATTGAATGGGCATTTTTGTATCGATGTGAGTCAGATTGCTTTCTTATGAATTTTTGATAAAAAAGGCTGCATTGTCTTTTCAGATGCACTTTTTTACACCAAACATATATCTGAAAACAAAGCATCAGTATATTTTTTTTAACCAAATCTCATTTTTACAATCAATTTTCAATCTATTAGTAATTTATCAATTACTAAATAGTGGATTTGTTTTTGTTTTTTTGTTTTTTTTTTTTTTTGTTGTTGTTGTTGTAAATGGTAAGAACTAAAGAAATTTAGATTTTGTTGAAAAATTGAAGTTGCAGTCTTTGATATTTAATGTTCAACTTTCAATCTTAACATTATTTCCCTGGCAGACAAACTGGTGGATCTAGAAAGGAGTCATTTGATAGTAATGTAAGCAGTGAGGGGCCATCTGAACTGTGCAGAACAAGAACATTGGATGCTGTGCATCTGAAGTTTAATGTGGAGGCTGGCTCTCTACTTCCCCTGGCTTTGAGGTATATTGTAATGACTGTTTATAACATAACATGTAATTATTATGCAAAACTGCGTATGCACTCTTATTTTTTTCCAACTGTGGAGCAAGTTTTTTTTTGTGTGTGTGTGTGTGTGTGTGTGTAACATGCATAATTATCTGTTTATACGAACTTGAAAAATAAAAGAGAGAATAATCATTGGTTGGAAAGGGCAAATTCATGATTTTCTTTGCTATTTTTGGTCCTTGCCCTATTTTTTCTCATCTGAATTAGACCATTACACAAGCCACACCTTGTTTTTCTAGGGGAAGATTAAAGCATGGCCGCCACTTCACATTTAAAAGTGCATTAAATGATGTTGCCATCACTCTGGTATCTTCAAGTGTATTAGGTGCAATAGTAGACGAGGAACATCCATATGGGGCTCATGGACCATGGCTGCAGGTAAGGATGAAACCATCTTATTGTTGATAGATATTTTGCAAAAAAATTTCATTCACTGTGCATATGTGAGCAGTGCATTTTGTGGGTTTCTGATAGTTAAGATCATGATGACTTAAAGAAAATATTCAATTGTTCTCTTGTAGGTGTTGTTTACTGATGATTTTGTGGAGAGACTGTTAGTCCAGATGGAAGAATTATCAACACCCGAAAATGTAAGAAAATGTTTTTAAAAAATTACACAGTAATGAAAGTTGGGTATATCAGGTATATTTTTCAAAAAATTATCATGATTTTACTCAGAACATGTTACCCGAGATGAAATCTTAAAGATATCGTGCATATTTCCGATTTTGATTTGTTACAGATTCATCCTCCCAAAGTTTATTCTTGGCCAGAAAAAAGGCTGTGTATCACAATCATACCAGATGATCTGCCAGAAGGCCAAAGTTGAAGCTCATCATATCATGTCTGTACATGTTGTATGTGTACTGTATGTACAATATGTGGCTTGTGGAAAAGTTGGAAGTCAACCAGGATGGTGCTTCAATTGTATGGGGATTTGATGTTGTTCATCTGCTCTTTTTAAGCCCTGATTAAGATGCAGTGGGAGAAGTTTCAAGAAAACTTTTTAAGTTGAATGTAAAATTCATGCAAAGAGAAAACTGGCATGAACTGTTTGCATTTGATGGCTTTGTCTTTATTTGTTCATTTGAAAAGGAATATAATGGGCGATTTTAATGTTAGAATACATTTTGTGCTTTGGAAAAGCATTTTACTTTGAAATTCATTTTTTTCTACTTTTGGTATAGATCTCCATATATTACTATTTATCAATATATTTTAAATGAGCTGTATATTTTTTCTATGTAGAATTTCTCAAGACATTTTACTTAAATTGCTAGAAGTAAAGAGAAACAAAATTTGCTTAAGAGGCCAAACATTTTACCATGACATTTTATATACACTTCATTTGTTCATTTCTCACATCTCCAAATGAATTTTTGAGAGTCACTCATATATGCAATAAACTGTGTAATTCGTACTTGTGTTTTGTCATTAGAAAATTGACAGGAAAGGATGATATTATAATGATCAGTTGTTAGAAGTCTTTTTTAAATTCTCAAAAGTGGACTTATGTTCTGCACAAAAAATGTGTGATGTTTTCTTTCCATAAAACCGATTTTATAAGTAAGTGTCTTTTGGTATGGTTGTCCTGTTTTCACCACCAATTTTAGATGCTTTAATATTGAAAATGGACCAGATTGAGATTATAAAACGAAGCTTTTTAAACACAAGCGTAAGGGCTTGCAGCTGTCTTCCTCAGTCTGATGTGAGAGGCCACTGCCAGGTGAGTTATTTACAAGCCCGGTAGTCTGTAATTCGTGTAGTTGACCAAAATATTATTGGGTGCACCATGTAAAGAGTAAATTATTTTTAATGAAACTAGTGGTACTGAGAACAATATCCACCTGGACTTCTGAAGCACTGTCTTAAAGATGAAATAACCATGCCTTTAATAAAGATAAAGGGTTGATGTACATCAAAAATCCAAAGGGCCAAACAAAATACATCAATAACACTTGCATATTTTCTATGTACACAAATTATACATCTTCCGATGCAAAAGATAAAGAGCAGTAAATATGGAAAGGCAAACTAAAGTCAGCATGTTCTTGTACACTTTCACCGTTCAACAACATGATATTTTTTAATTCGATCATCGTATATCTTTACAGTAATTTTTTTCAGTGCTTTAAAATGATTGTAATATGTGCATTTTCTTCCAATATTATTTACATGGTTTATTACAATATTTAACTCCACCAGTAAAGGAGGTTATGTTGATAAAAGTGTTTGTTTACTTACTAGGAAAAGTGGACAAGATATCTTAAACATAGAACTTTGGAAATTTGAATGAAATTAGAATGGCAGTTATTCACAGGAGGGAAAGAATTAACATTTTAAACTGAACCATTGTCTTTTGTCATTGACAGAGGTCTGTGCTCTTTGTCCTATACCATCTCTTATCTGAAATACACTGTTTGATGATTTTTGGACTGACAGACTATGTATAAATGGACTTGACTCTACCTTACAAAAAAAAAAAAAAAAAAAAATTAAATTCAATGTTGCTGGTTTGAAAGCCTAGACCTTATCTTCTAAGTCTCTTTTGAGGTGGAATTTCCTCATCACTGAGCCTTCTCATGCCTCTCCCCATTGGTTGCATCCCACCATGACCTCTCCCTCTCCCACCCCTGGCAGGCTGTGACGGGGGAGACAGACCCCTGTTCCGTCTAGTTTCTCTCACAGGAAGAGGTGGGGGTGATGCCCTCTGTCCTCTCATTTCTCGGTTTTGAATAGGGGGAGACACAGGTCTTGGCATGCCACCACCCCTGGAGTCTCTCCTGCCCCTAATGGGAGGAGGACTATATGTCCTTGGGGGTCTCCTTTCCCTTTGCTGCCTTAAGCCTCCTGGGGGAGATGGGGGCCTCTGTCCCCTCATCCACCTGCTGCCCTCTGGAGGTGGGGATTCCACCCTTGGGGGAGAATGTGCTGGAGGGGAAGCTTTCCACCTGCCCCTTGTTCTCATCCCTGGTTCTTGAGGTGATGGGGGTCTTCCCCCTGGGGATTGTGGTATGTCTGGGCCCTTACCTTGTGGTCTACCTCTTGGTGGTGGAGAAGGTGTTCTCCTCTGTCCATACCCCATTGTGGGTGGAGGAGAGGCTGGCCTCCGACCTCTCATTGATGCACCTGGCATAGGTGGTCTTCTTATAGGGGATCTGCTCCTACCGCCTCCTGGAGATGGTGGGCGCCAGCCACCCCTCTTGTTGTCAATGTACCTTGGGGATCTTGATAGGCTACGCTCATCAGGAGGTGACTGTGACCTGCCAGATGACAATGACCTTTCATCCCTGTCCATTGTATTGGGAAGTCTGTTGGTGAATTTAACAGGAGACTGTGGAAACCGTTGACTTCTTGCCCTTCTTTCAGCCTCTCCAAAAAACATAGTGTCTGCTGATCGTCTGGTTCTCTTTGCAGCCTCCCCAAAATCTATGGTCTCTATTGGAGGTCTAGTTCTACGTGCTGCCTCCCCAAAGTCAACTTCATCTACTGGTTTACGCTCTCTTCTCCTTTCCGGAGACTCTGGAGATGAATCTGGCCTGCAATGGCAATAAAAGCAATTCTAACTGACAGTTTCTTATTATAAAGATGTTTGTACAGATCCATTACAGAACTGATAGAAACCAGTAAACTCGATAACTTGCAATAGGTCAACAAATAAGTAGCACAATTTCGATATATGCTAATCTGTGTGTAGTGTGTGTATGTGGGTGGGTGGGGGGGGAGTGGGTTTAAAAAATTTAGAAAAAATTGCAAACAATCCACACCTATCTTTACAGGCACGTATGTTATGTATATAAATAATTAGTACTAGTTTCTTACACAGAAATAACATCCAGATGCCAAAAAATAAACAGAAAATAAAATCACGAAAGAAGAAAAAGGCATTAAAAATGCACCATCTTTAAATTTTTGGTCATAAATTTGACCTACTTATTTTTCCTCAAGTCTGCAAAGTGCATAAAGTAAGTAGAAAATATCCATGCAAATATCATTTTAGGAAAATGATTTAATGAAACTGGTGTCTTTATGAAAAAACTATGGTGTCATTTAGTCTGGTTTAACTGCAGATCTAACAGCAAAAAGAACACAAAAGTTGTTAATAGTTATTAAACATTATCAATTGGTTGATATAACGAAAAACAATTACCTTGGCGTAAGTGTTTCTAATGGGGATGGTGGTCTTTCTTGATACGCAGCAGGAGGGGTAGTACTACGACGGCGACGAGTGGAAAAACTTGAACGTGGTTTGTACAGCTCTGAATTATCATAAATCTGAGACGGTTTGGCTTTAGTGGACTCTGTTGATCTAAAATTAATTTGATATACCTGTTAGCCTTAGATAACATCACAAAAAGGAAAAACATCTACATTTACCTAAATGTGAGGTAATGAAAAAAAAAATTAATCTAATAAGATAAATTGTTTTACAGATTTTGTATCATACCTAGGAGTAGAAGAACGCAATTGTCCTGGCTCTTGCTCACTTGATGTACTGGATGCAGGTGAACTACGACGACGACTGACACGTGGTTTATACAGGTCATCCAAGTCGTACCTCTGGGCAGACTGAGACTTTTTATCTGAATCTGCACCCGATCTATAAGGAAATAAACATGTTGCAAATAGCATTTTTTCTACACATATTCTTTCATGTGTATTCAAATGTCTGTTAAGGGTATACTGTATGTGTTTGAAAACATTCTAAATTTACATCTCTTATGTGTAAATATCATGCACAGAATCAATTCTATCCCAATTCAGACTTTAAAAAAAAAGTACCTAAAGTCTGACAAATATTTAGTCATTATGTTTGTACAGTTTCATGAAAACTGATTGGAAATTGTAGAAGATTGTTAGGCACAACTGCATTAAGCTGAAGTGTCAATTGAATTCAATTAATATTGTGAAGAAATATAAAAACAAAATGAAAAAGCAATGATTCACAAAAACATGACAAGGTCTGTCTGTGCAGTTTCACTGGGTCTTACTGAAGTCTGTTTAAGTGCTGCCTGGCAAGATTGCTTCTACAATTTAATCCCAGTATACCCCATACCTTGTTTTGGCATGCAACAAATTCACAGTGGTAACAATGCCAACTACCCACAAAATTGATAATGAACTCGCTTAATCAGGCCCTGCTGAGTGCTACAAGTTTAATACCTGCTTGAAGTTCTGCTGTCTGACCTGGGAGTATCCAAGGGTGTAGTTGGTTCATCCTTCAAAGAAGACACCCTCCTTGACCGTCTCACCCCACCTTCAGTTGACTCTGCACGTGATGATTCGGAACCTACACTTCGAGGAGTATCTGGTCTCTGGGGAGCTGACGTGTCATCTGATTTTGACCTTGCCCCAGTGATCAAGTGACCTATGCTTAGCCCAGTGCTTATAGCAGACACATCAACAATGGGAATATTTGACTGTTCAGCTGAAAGTACAACTTCGTTGTCTGGTACAGAATATTCTACTTCATCCTGTGTTGGAGTCCCAGGCATGTTTTCATATCCGCCTAGACCCTGTGTATAGTCTGTCTGATTGTTGTCTGCCACAGTATATTCTCCAGACATCTCTACTTCCACCGTCTCCTCAATCACATCTGTGTAACCCTCTTCCAGTATATGCTGTCTCTTATCAGTGAAGATGGAAGTGAATTCTTCTGAAGTATACTTTCTATTCCTTGTCCTTTGCCTTCTTAAGGCCATTCTCTTTTCCATCACTTTTTGTTCTTTTAGTCTTTCCTTCAATTCCTCCTTGGTCTTAGATTTTTTCATTCTGTGTTTCTTGTCTTGTGCCTTCTTTTCTTCCTGTTTTTCAGATGAGACTTCTTCTGATTCTAAAACACAATGCAATATTGTTAAGTATTTTTTGTACATAAACCCTGCTCATATATAGATTTCATATACCTTTACAGTTTCAGCAAAACATACATGCTATAAATATCTAAAGATACAAATGTGCACATGATGCATCTTAACAGTTGTTTTCTTAATTTGCAAATGAAAAAAATCTTGACACAAAAGATTGAAGATATTATTTCAAGAATTTTCTCTTAAACTCTTCTACCTTCTGTTGGCACAGCTTTTAAGGTCTCCTTTGCAATTTTTCTTTCTTCTCTTAGACGTGCCTTTTCTTCATCTCTCTCTTTTCTTTTAGATTCATATGCAGCCCTTCTCTTCTGGCGTTGCAAATATCGCTGCTCTTTTTCATTAGCCTCAAAGTAAGAAAATTAAATTTATTTCAAAAATAAAAATACTTGCTCTTTTTCTAGATTTTAAGAGTTCCATTGAGCTTACTTGTTCTCTAAAAGTTTAACACTTTACTTACAATGTATATACTTTAAAACCTGTTTTAAAGTTACTTACAACTCTGGCTTTTTTCTCTTCTCTAGTTTCTCCATCATCACTGTCACTGAGGTTGTAAGTCAAGGATATTAATTTTCTAGGTTTTTTCTCAGTAGCAGTTTCATCTTGTCTAAAATCATCTGCTGAGTCTTCTTTTGCTGGACAAGCACCTTCTGTTTCTTTCACTGAAAGGATAAAGATTTATCATGATTATATCCAATAGTCAAACTACCAAAATATGCATGTATTGAATCTTTTATAGGCTCTGTACTCTGTACAGTATATAACTTTCTGTGTTCATACATACTGTACTCTGTACAGTATGTATGAACACAGAAAGTTATATGATACTCTAAGTATAAACTATCCATAATTGAATAATCCACGATGAATATCTTCACAATACGAATACCAAAACATCTTTACACAGTGCCCAAAAAATTCAAACAATAGGTGGGACAATACAGGCATATTCTTTGTTTCAACAAAAGAGTAAATAATTATAATTTTTTTTCATTAAATAATTATATCTTATAAATGTCCCCTCACCTTTCTTTGTTTTGACCTGTCCCTCATCACTTGAGCTATTTTCTTCTTTCTCCTCACTTTCATCTACCTCATTTTCACTCTCTGACTCTGATTCAGATGTCTCAAAGGAAGACAAGTCACTTGTGTGCACAGAGCTGATTGTCACATCTGAGAATTCATCCTCATCTACATCTTGCCAAGCAAATTTGTAGGATTTTTCTGGCTTTATTCCATCAGCATGGTCTTTCTTATCAGGCACATCTTTTTCTTCCCTAACTTTATTCTCCTGCTCCTTAGTTGAGTCAGACTGAGGTTTCTTAACAGGAGAACCACCACTTGGACCAGGTGTGGAAATGGGGAGTGGAATGTCTAGTGTTTCTAAAAATTTCTTAGAAGACTTTTCAGGAGACTTGTTTTGCTCTGACTTGACTTGGTCTTCATTTGCTAGCATTGGAAGAGAAGGAGGTTCTGGCCCAGGTTCAGGCTCAGGAGGGGGATCAATGTCCATATCTTCTGGTTCTGGTGGGAGAGGAGGTGCCTCTGGGGGCAAGGGTGGGGTGTCTGGCTCACTTGGCAGGGGAGGGGCAGATTCACTGGGCAGTGGGGGAGGTGCAGAGCTTTCAGGCACCGGAGCTGGTGGCAGGGGAGGCTGGGCAACAGGCTGAACAGCAGGGCCTGGTAGAAATGGAGGTTGCATGGTGCTTTGAAAGGGAAGAAACTGGGAACTCCCTGATGGGAAGTTTGGTGGGGAGAAAGACATATTCTGAGCACCAAATGGATCCATGTTCATTAGATTTGGTGGCTGGTTTCCAGAAAAATTGCCTCCAGGACTTTGCAGATCTAAAGAATACAAGGAAAATATTTTTAAAAATCCTTTTAAACAAACAAACAAACAAACAAATTATAAGATTTGCATATTATCAGGACATGTGAACTTTAAAAAAGCAGACCCAGAAAAATATTTTTAGAAAAAAAGAGGAATACTACTGATCAAATTAATTAATCAATCAATCAAAATCGAAAAATAAATAAAAAATATTTATATTGCAATATCCTCACTGATTTGTTAAAGAACATTTTCAACATAGAATGCTGAAATATTAACTCAAGATATCAAAATGTATCTTAACCTGGAGGCATGTTCTGCATATTTGTGCAGTAATTTTTTAGGTTTTCCAAACTCTGTTGTCTCTGAGCATTCTTCACTTCCTCCAACTTTTTTCTTCTTTCACTGGGATCAATTCCTAGGAACTCACAGACCACTTTATCCACTTCTGGCTTGAACACTGTCTCAATCTTTGGATTAACTACCTGTTCTATAATCCTTTCAACTCCACTAGCTAGCATGCCAGACCTAAGTTGAACAAAATGATGTAACATCCAAAATGACTTGCAAAGAAAAACATGAGGTTTTTTTTTTTTTTTTTTTGAAAGTTTGAATTGTATAACACTTGCTTCAGTATAGGAAAAATATTGACAGTTTAGAATTTATTTAAACACAATTTATGTATTACAATATTTCCTTTTTAATATCAAACTCTTAACCCAAAGGTAACTATGCACAATTCTTACTGGTTTATTTGCCTTCTCAGTTGTTCTCTCAGTTGGTTTTTGTTTAAATCTGGGCTCCACTTCTGCTTTGAAAGAAAGTTTGTAACATAGTTGTCCACTCGTTGGCGAAGATTTTGATATGCAGGCTGAAATATTTTATTCAATTCTTATGCCATTGCACATTTCTATCTTCTATCAACTTACTTGAAATCATCATATAGAGTATATCCAATAATAGATTTAAAAAAAAACAAAAAACTTTGCTATACATTTCAAATAAAGCATGTCCTCAGAATCTGTGCATACTGTAAAATTCATTCACATGCATGGTGTCAATAATAATAATAATAAAAATGATTGGCATACTTTAGAGGAATTATTTGTTTTCCAGTTATGTACGTGGTTATAGGCTGCTCACTTCTTAAAACATTCAATCAGTACTTATGCCGTGTGCCCCCAAACTCATACATGCAATTCTTAAGTTTTAGAAGTTTCTATTTTTAATTTAGTTACGTGATGATTTTGAGTAGTGTCGCTGCTATTCCAATGTATCAGCTTTAAAATTTACTTACTTATTTCTAATGTTCACCCCTGAAATGAACTCTTAATTCTGCTCTTATTATAATTAGTGTCCTTCATGTTTCTTGTGAAAACATAAGTATTAGGCAATTTTTTTTTTTAATAAATAGCATTATAGTAGAGACACTTGTGAGGGTAACCAATGGGGACTTTTGTTACCCACGAAAGTCTCTTTTTACTTTACTGAAATGTGATATGTGAAATGCTCATATTAATTGGTGTGATCCATGAAAAATTCCATTCCTGAAACTTGTGAATGCATACGGCTTTTTATTTTTTGTCCTTAATGTGACAGATTTATTACANAGAGAATGTGCATCAAGAAAATCTACAGGCAAAGATGATCTTTTATGTGAGACAGATTTGACGCCACGACTTTCTCGTGACCTATTAGATTTCTCAGAATGTGGTAATGTATGCAATCTCCTGTATGTTTTTGGAGATATGGAAGCTGCTTTCTGCACTTCCTTACTTTTTTGTTTGATTTCTGCTTGTTTTAGTTTTAAATCAGAAATCTTTTGCTGTAATTCCAAAATTTCATCACCATCATTGAGTGTTCTAATAGGTTCTCCCTCTGTTGGAAAAAAGAGAGAGCGCCTAAACGAATCACGTCCAAGATCCAAAGATTTAGCATGCTTAGAAATATCTGCGGAAGTAGAAGTATGCCTTTTTGATTTAGGTTTTGCCCCACCCTGACTTTTTATATGAGAAGACTCAAACTGAAGGTAGGGCATAATTTTAGATGATATAGTTTGACCAAAAAGTTGTTGTAAGATATTTTGATTAAGGCGTATACCTCTTTCTCTCACAGATAAAATTTTCTCAGCACGCTTTTGACCAATTCCTGGCACATCAACTAAATCTTCCAATGTAGCAGAATTGACATCTACCAACTGGGAAGAAGTTGCCATTGTGTTGATGTAAAATCTAACACAATTAATCAGAAAAAATAGCAAGCTATTAACTGGCACTCAACACCGGAAAGATTTAGAAAAAACCCCACCAATGGAAATTCAAAAAGAGAAAGATAAATTTTCACTAAATCTATAAATCTAGAATCAAATTTTTATGAAACTAATAATTTACAGATAAGTGATTAAGTTTATCCCAGTACACAGAATATATCAATCGTTTAAATAACTAATATCAATATTCCAGGAATAAACAAAATTTAAATTAACCCTGTGCCAGTAAAACAACCAACTATTAAATCCAATTGTACCAGAAAAGGACAAAAATTGAAATGTGATAACAAATAGTTAAAAATGCAATAAATAAGATGGTTAGTACAATATTGCTATTGCACGTGCCTTGAACAGATGTACGAGAACAACGTCTCCCTTACGACAGGCAATTTCTCAATAAGTGCTGTTTTACTGAATGTCAAAGTAAACAAACCAAAAAGGAATACTCCCCGTTCCCTACGCGGTAACTTTACGGCCGAAAGTTAAGAACTTACTGTGAAGTTTCAAAAACTTGACCCCCGCCCGCCGAATTTTTCAATATGGCGTCGAACAAAGGAGAAATTACCTAATGGCTTGCAACAGCTTTATGCTAAGAGGTCGTGTGTACCTCGTCGCCAATAAAGTGTTTTACTCTAATTCAATAGCAGAAACAAACACTTCTGGTACTTACTGAGAGTATTGCCTGGTCCTTCTGTTAATGTGTGGCACTATGCTGTGAGAGTACGTCAACTTGGAGGAGCTTTGTACTTCTTCACTGGTGAAGATCTACCGGGATCTGGGGCGTCACATGGGTTGGTGTTAGTTTATATGTGAGCGCCCCTGCGCAGTCCCCAAATGCGCAGCAGACATCCCAGGATGCTCTTGGCAGTGACAAAAACACTACACGACTTCCGCTTATGTAAGTCCCGCGGTACATTATTGGTTCACCACGAGAGCGGCAATGGACGGCAATCTAAGGGTCACAGCAGAAGCACATCGAGTGGATATGCGGTGATGATCAGTGATTTTGAATGGTGCTTAGGAAACAAATTGGCTTCAGGATAACTTTACATTATGGAGATCACAGAGGCAGAGATTGACGAGTATGAAAGTTTACCCCCAACCAGTTCCATGACCACGCACATGGCTGCTGGGGCGCTGGCAGGGATTATGGAGCACTGTGTTATGTATCCGGTTGACTCTGTGAAGGTGGGGTGTTTAGAAGTATATATGGTCATTTTACATGTACTAATTTTTACGAAATGTGTTACAACTTACATGATTTAAATTATACAGACATTGTCATGTCACGATGACTGACCCCATATCAATAATTTGACCCAGTTTTCGTGTCAGTTCCTGTGTCGAATGACCCCCCCCCCCCCTTCCCTGTGTTAAAATTTGGTTGAAATCATCACGGCGATAATAACATGATGATAACCTCACCTGTATGGTGACTTTGAAATAGAATGAAAGCACGTTTCTAAAGTCCATATGGGATAAGCTGATTGATTTTTTATGAGGGTGATTATAAAACTTGCAAGTCATTCCCCTACATTCACAAGTTGTCTTTTATTACATCAAGTTGTGCAAATTCTTCATTGTAAAATCAAACTATTTTGTTATTAAGCAAATTTAAGTCAAAACCACATGCTTGACATCTGCCGTTATGATAGATTGTGGACTGAATCTACTTCAGTGAGATGTTTGGATTGCTTTCTTCACTCAACTGACCATGTGAAAGTAGACCATTGTGTAAACATTAACATATTTCTATATGAAATACATCAAAGCAAAGGGATAAAATCATAATTAAAGCCTAGATTACACATGCCATGGGTGCTGTCCAGTGAAATGGTATATGATTTTTTGTAGAATTTTTCCCCACAGTAAATACCTATGGGCTTTGGCAAGTACTTTTGCATTAAGTGCCAGTGCAATGCCATTTATACATAACTTTCAGGTCATGTAGGAAAAAATTGGATTTTCAGTTGAAAAGTGACCGTACAGAGCCCTGATAGTCTCTGTCCAGTTATTGTACACCTTGCTTGCGGCATCCTTGTCAGTTGAAGATCAATACATTGTCAGTGTAGCCCCCAATGATTTTTTCACCCATTTGGCCAAAATAAGGAAAAGCACAATTTTAATTCATGTAAAACATCTTTGCTGCTGTAATGAATTCTTAAAACAGTAAAGGTGGAAGAGAAAAAGGGCAACAACAGGTTCAACCATTATCAAGATTACCATAAGTATACTGAACTGAGCTTGTATGGGAACTGTATGATACCATCTACTATAATGCAATAGCCTACAGGCTCATTATTTCAAAATTTGTCAAGAGTTTTAGCTTGACAAAATCATAGAGGTTACGTGGGCCATTAATCTGTACAATTTTGTACCATTGTGTATGGCTACCGCATTGCTTTTGCAATGGGATTTACAGTATACAAGCACTGCAAGGACAATGCATAGCAAATATTATACAGGCTTACAGGACACAGTCACTGATGGATCCAGCTAAAATAGTTATTGGTTTTCTAATCATAAAGTGTACAACAGGCAAGTTTTTAAAAAGTCCATTGTAGGGAAATGGTCAGGGAAACATGTCTATATAACAATGATCAGTCCAGTGTTCCATATGGAATCTGTGGCAGAACTACTTGCTAGATTTATACATCTGTTTTGCTGACCACTTCTCTGCTGACTGACCACTTTGGGCAGTTGGAATGATAAATCATACTTAGGTCAAGAGGATTCTGATTGATCAGACATTTTATAACTTTGTATTGCTCACAGGTTTATTATGTAATCAAACATACCTGAAATCTTGGCTTTACCAGTAATAATCATTCAGCCCAGTTGTCACCATTATGTGGATTTAACAATCGTGTTCCGTTTAGTGTGACAAACTGCAGTGTTCATGCAGGACAGTTCTGTGTTATGGATGTCCTGTGACGCAGGTAAGAAAATGACTGCAAAGGTGCATCACTGTCATTTCCCTAACTTTGCTAAATCAATATGATCTTTATTAATGTCAAACTTTTTATTGACTTTACTATAAATTCTTTTTTTTTAAAGTTTTCTATGAATCACTTTCTCAAGGTTTTAATATGGGTTTGTTGATGGACCAACATTGTTTAGTTCTGTTAAGATACTGCATGTATCAGGATTTATGGGATGAATGGTGATATGTCTGTCAGTGTCTGCTGGTAAATTATTGCCATTTACAACTGGTGTTGAAAGTGGGATAATAAGATTGGAAAGGTTAATGGAGGTTTAACAGTATTATGCAAATGTAGCAGTAGATTTGCTTTTGGCTGAAAAAAAATCAAAATCACATCTGAAAATTATCATCAATTTGGGAAAAAGTGAAAAAAAAAAAAAATTAAAAATTTCATAAACATAGACTTGCTACTAGTATGTTCACCTAAATCTTAAATGATGTTGGGCAGTAATTGCAATCAAAAGATTAAAGGATTTTTAACAGTGGATGTAAAGTTAAAGACCTAGGGGATATTTCATAAAGCCTCCCTCTGTCTACTTGTATTCTTCTTAGCAGATTTGTTTGCTGAATCTCAGTCATAAATCTACAGCAAATTTATGCAACCCCACTGCAGTATTGATGGCTAATGATAAGTGAAGAAACTGGCCCTTTGGCAAGGGTTTTATACTTGCATTATAAATGTTGTGGGGGGGGGGGGGGGGAATGGGTAGTAATAAAAGGCACATGTTACTGTTTAGTCACATGTATTTTATTATCCCTTCTTTTTTGTGAAGTTTGGAATGTTATCTAGCCTATCCATGGGTATGCAATGGCTACCCATCAATGGCATGCAGCTTTTGAATTGTTTGTGAATTTGTGTGTACATATTTTGCTTGATATCACTATGATAAATTTCTACCAATTCACATTATATTTTCCAGACACGTATGATGTGTTTACGGCCAAATCCAAATGCAAATTATAGAAATTTGATGGATGCATACTATACCATTGTGCGTTATGAGGGGCTTCGTACTACGTGTCGTGGTGTGAGTGCAGTGATTGGTGGAGCTGGACCTGCTCATGCAATGTACTTTGCCTGTTATGAAAAACTCAAGTGGACAATTGGTGGCACAAGACAAGGAAATCCTCTTGCTAATGGTAAGATATAGCTGGAGTGGTGCAAGAGGAGATATGGCCTTGCTTAATTTGTCTTATTACCTCTGCCAATTGCAAGGAGGTTATGTTTTCACCCTTGTTTGTTTGTCTCTCTGTCTGTCTGTTTTCATGATTGAGACTTGAATAAAACTTTGAAAAATTTTATCAGACACATATCATATAGGATAGAAATTGACTTTAATGTCATCCATGTTTTTATACTTTCAACATTACCTCCAGTGTTTTTTTTTCTTATTGATTTATGTTATCTTCCAAATCAAAGATTTTGTTCATTTAAGCTGATATGGTAGCTTTACACCTCATCTCTTATATCACCCTTTGAGAATTTTGATCCCCACTTATTCAACTAAAAATGGCTTGATTATTCCTTTCCTCTCCTGATTCTTTTACTCAGTGACATTGCAATAGAATGAGAAGGAAGCCATCTCTGACCATGCTTTGGGTATTGAGTTACATGTATGCTGTCCAGTTTTGATAATCATGTTGGTCATTGAACCATCTATGTAGTGTCGTTTTGTTACCCATTCATCAGAAGAGGAAGCTATCCTTGAAATAATTTTGTGAGAGATGTCTGACATGGTTGATGTTTTTATTTCTTTAGCTGTAGCCGGGTGTGCAGCTACACTGCTGCATGATGCTGTCATGAATCCTGCAGATGGTAAGTGTGTTTTGGAAAATCATTAATCATGCACAAATCAGTGGTTTCACTGTGACACTTTTATATGAGGTCTTTTCATATCAGCGGTATACTATACTTAACTGGTCTGGTCCACTAAGTTTGAGAGATTGTCACTTGAATAACCTGGCTATAAAGTAAGAGGTTCACCTCCCCCTCCTCCCCTCCCCCTCCATGTAGTAAGTTAAACTAAAAAGAAGAAAGCAAACTTGTGGATAACTTGTAGAAAAGGAGTTAAAGCCCCTGTAGTGTAATTACAAGTTATAGCCTTCAAATGGATCAGCCCAGTAAAGAAACCACTTGATGTGAAAATGGCCCCCAGATAGATGGCAGCAGTCTGTTGTGTCATCCGCATGTTAAATGCGCAGTGCCAATAGTGATATAAAGTAGAAACTTGTTGATTCCA